AATCAATATAAAATATTCAGTTTTAATATGTATTAAATATCAACTTTTTACAGTATAATATTTACAAAAAAAAAAATAAAATTCTGTTAAAAATAAAATAAATTGGAAAAAATATTCAACTATTTATTAATATTTTATTAAGTTTTCAAAAACTAAAAGCCCCATTATAGCACGTCAAGAAAAAACTGTCACGAAATTGTTTATTAAATTTAAGGCAGCAACGATTCGTCTAGCATTTATTCATTCCTGTAAGATTCGCTGAGAGAATCGAACCAAATTTTACTGAAGTGAAGCATTTTTTACGCATTTAAATCTATAGAGTTTTTTTTTACTTTTTGAATTTTTTGAATTTCTGTAATTTGTTGAAATAATGAATACCAAAATTAAACAATCGAAGGAAATAATATCAAAATTGCCGACTGAATCAATTAGCCATAAAATGGACGGTGAGAAAAGGATTTATAGCTCGATGTTTGAGATCTATGGGCGTGTGCAGGGTAAGTATATTATTTTAGGTTAAGAGAAAATTATTTTAAAAACATATATTAATGTACTCGTATATTTTCTTAGGTGTATATTTTCGTAAGGTAAGTGGGCCTTAAATAAGATATTTAGGTTGATACTGAAAGCAATCTCTTCTGGCTGTGAAGCACACACAAATCAAGGCCAAGCAGCTTGGACTGAATGGCTGGTGCATGAATACCCAGGAAGGCACCGTTAAGGGAATTATGGAAGGACCACAAGACATGCTATCCGAGATGTGAGCACTGCCACTATATATACTAGTTTAATCCCATTCATAAATTCCTCTTAAATTTGACAGGCGCTTGTGGCTGCAGCACAAGGGCAGTCCACGTTCCATAATTGAAAAAGCCGTCTTCACGCCTTTCGAGCCCATCCCCAATCACAATTACCACACTTTTTCAATCAAACGTTAAGCATTAGCTCAACCTACTTCTACTAAATAAAGACAAGACTAAATGTTACTAAATCATATATGTGTATATATATATTGGGATCTGCGTTGGTATTAGTGGCATGTAACACATGTCGGATGCGCAATGTACGTGCTATCACGTCTCTGCTCTCTCCTTTCTAGGGCGTGGCAAGCAACTTTTGTTGCCGCCATAATATGTCCCAGTATGTGCAATTGCCGAGCCACAAAATGGCCAAAGTTGGCCAACAACAGAGAACGGCAAAAAGAAGTATGAAAAAGTTTTTAGATCCACAACGGCAGCTTGGGGAATTGGCTCGACAATATTGGCACGTGTCGCAGCTCGTAGAACGCGCCATTTGTCGTCCAATTAGCCAGCTGGAGCGCAGCTATTCGAAATAATAGAACGTATTTTCGTTCTAAACATTTTCCACACAGCATTTGTCAAAAATAAAAAATAAATATATATGTATATAAACGCAGCGCAGAAATTGTCGCAACAATTTCAATTTATTTGTGGCGGCCATCAAAAAAATTTTTGCGCCTCTCTCTCTCTCTCTCTCTCTCTATCTATCTCTGGGCTCTAAAGCTGGTCAAAAGTTTGCGCCACTTTTGCCAATTTAGCAGCAAATATTGTTGTACCACGCCCCCAGCCCACGGGCTACGAGCCACCGGGCCCCTCGTGCATAAAAGCAAAAACAAAATTTGCATAAATAAATAAAAGTTGCAGACTTTGAAATGTAACAGTTGGCGCTTGACTGCAATTAAAATCGGCCGCGCACAATTTGAAAGCCTGAAACTCCCCTCGGGTTTGTTTTTATAGCAGCGAATATTGCCCTGACTTCAGTTGCAGTTGTAGTTGTTGTTGTTGTGTTTTGCTTTTGTTTTTGTTTTTGTTTGGCTGGCTAACTGGCACTTTATAATAAACTGTTAAAACCGCAAAAATTGCAACAAAAGCGCTTGCCAGTTGACCATACTGCTGCAGCGCCCGACAAGCAGTAGTAGTTGCCTGCCGTGCCACACACACACACACAACAAAACAGATTCGCATAAATTTTGACAAAAACTACATTTATGGGAATTTTCGTGAAACTTTTTTAGCTGGCAGCAGCACTGCATGGAATTTTATACATATTTTGATAAATTTCATATTTTTTATCAAAAAAAAAATAATAATAATTTTATAATTTTATATATGATATGAAGTCATATGCAATAATATACTTTATTGATTACGCATCAAAATTTGTTTTGAAAATATATATACATTTTTTTGTTTATACTCATTCGTGAAGGTGAAATGAGTATATTGGTTTTTGTGCAAAATCTATCTGTCCCTATGAATGCTAACCACTTTAAAACATGAAATATGAAAAAAAAAAAAAAAAACACGATCCGCCAGGTAGGGGCGAAAAACACATTTGTCTAACGCTTTAGCAGCTCAAATAAATTTTCCATGAAATTAATATAAATTAATTTTCGTATACCTGAAACAATTAATATTTATTTTCTTTTAATATTTTTTTATACATTTTCTTTTCCACTGTAATAAGCTTTATAATTGCTTTATATTGTGTAATAATATAAATGTATATATATTGTAATTTAATGCTGAATTTTTTTGCTCACAAAAGCGAATTTTATTGCATTTTTATTGTTAAATGTTAAAAATCAAATTTACATGACCTAAAAACAATCAGACGAATTTATTTTTCCAGATGCACAATTATAGTGCACACAGAATGGTAATTCAAAGGCAAATATTAATATTTAATTTTGTAGGTGAAAAATTTTATTATGAACCAATAAAGTGACGAAATTCAAAAACTGAGAATGGAAGTCGAGAATCTGCCGAATATTTGTCAATCCAGTCTATCGAGACATAACTACAGAGTTTACAAATTCATTGTGTTTACGATTCGAATACTTGCTGCTGTCGGCTCGGATGGCGATATCTAACGACTTGTCGAGGCCTCATATCCCTAACGATCTCACGCTGCAGCAGCTGCCTGTATAGCAACATTTTGCGTTTGGTTTCTGGGCTGCCAGCAGCGGAGCTAAATTGTAGAACTGTGCTCTTGACCTTTGACCTTTGAGCAATTGAAATTGATATCATAATTACATAATATGTCTACTCGATGGACTTACTGCTTTTCGTTAGGCATTTCGAGAGCCTCGAATCTGTAAATTGGTTTTTAAATTTTTTGAATTTCTTTCAGGCTTAGTTGACTTGTTAAAATTTTCATAGAAACTGGTTGCTTGGCTAGGCCAAGGCAAAGCCAACGCAGATTTATAGCATTTGTTTCAGAGGCTACTCTAGCATTATCTCGCCTCTCCGAGCAGCACACATAAACATGCCACAGCAATTATCGCAAATACACGCTAATCGCGCCACATTCCTCTACACTCAATTAAATAACCTTTGACCTCGTTACGTGGATTTCCTAAAACACGTCACGGACATTTTAAATGGAAAGCTGCAATCGAGTGTGGGATACACTGTAAACAGGAACAGAGCTATATTATGTTAAAATATATTTGAATATACCAATAACAATTTTATTTATTTTACCTAATATTAAAATATGAAATTTTTCATTATATATTTGAAAATATATAACTTGTATATACATACATTTTAAAGAGAGCAAAGACTTTAACAACTGCTTTAAGTATGAATAATCACGACTTTGATTTTCGTTTATAATTAAAATTAAATTGAATCACCTTTGTATTTTAATTATTATTATTATTTATTTAT